CCCAATGTTTTCCTTTCACCTATCCCAACACTGCAGCACCAGCTCTGTCCAAAGCAGTGCCATTTATTTGGATCATCACAGTTTGTGATGTGGTTTAATGGGGAAGCCCCAGCACATCCAGCTGCCCTGTGCCGGTCATTAGGTGATGTGTGCTCCTTGTGTGCTGGACCACAAAGCTAATGACACATCCTGGGGCTCTTCCAGGAGTTTGGGAGGTGCAGTGGGTTAGATTTACTTCATTTTCTTGGAAGAGACACATTAACCTTGTCAGCTGGCCAACAGGAGAGGAAATTTGGCAGAGCTCTTGCTGAGCTGGCCAGGTTACGACAGCGTTAAAGGGTTGTACTTCAGTGAGCAACCAGAAATGGCAACACACGGGCTCAGCACCTGCACAGCAACCGTGGAGACACCACTGAGAGGCCTCCTCTCTTACAGAATTAGTTCCTTTAGCAAGAGAGAAGAAAGGATGAAAAAAATTCAGGAGCTTTTCAGTGTTGTCAGAGGTGTGGAGGATAAAACTTCACTTCAAAGTGCCTGAAAGAAGCCTGCTCTTATTTCTGGTGGTGGGGAATCAATGCTGTGCCATGGTAAATACCTGCTGTCCACCGTCTTTCTAATTCAGCCTTCAGAATTTGATCTATTTTAGCAAGTGGTGAGTAACTCTGGATAACGACACAGCATTTTATTCATCCTTTTAGTCATGCTTTGGGAAGAGCAAGGCTGCTCTTGCTCCGGAGCTGTGGAATTCTGATGGCAAATTCCCAGGCTCTCCAGCCACGTGCTGTTGCCTACTCAGGCAGTTCTGGGTCACTGCATGAACACAACTTTTTTTCCCACCCTGCACGTCCTCTCCGTGTTTGCCTCCTGATGTCACTCCACGAGGTTATCTGTGAGGGACAGATGGAGCTGAAGGCAGAGGTGAATGGGAGCGAGGAGGAGTCGGGATGAAGGGTGGATACCAACAGGATGAGGCTTCTGATGGGATTTGTAGGGTGGAAAACCACATGATGGGGCTGAGCTGTGTAGGATGTGGGCTCCTCAAGGAGCATCTCCAGTGCAAACCCACGGCTGGGGAACACAGTGCAGCTCCTGGAGCGAGGCTGTGCTCAGAGGAAATCTGCTTTTTCTCTTCTCTGATGCTCCCTGCTTACCCTCCCCCCTTCCAGTGCCCAATATTTATGTTTCCACATAATAATGATGTGATGTGGCTGGCAGAGTAATTTAAATAATTGGACATTATCTTGAGAAGCAAGAACCTAATTAGATCAAAATAAACCGAGAACTGAAATTTTCATCTGTTTCTAATAACCTTTTTACCTATGTACAGTGTTGCTGCTGCAGCAGGGGTTTCATTATTCACACCACACTATGTTGGGGTTCATGAGTGATGGAGACTCCTGCAGGAGCAGAGAGCTTGGTGGCACTTTGTGGACAAGATTAGTGACTCATTCCTGGTTCTGTAGAGTGTTTTGCAGTGATCCTCTGCTGTATTTGTCCCTTGTGTAACCAGCAGATACAGATCAGGGTTCGAAGGCAGATATTTAAAGAGAAAAGGCTCAAAGAATGTCTGACCTTAGAGCTCTGTCATTCATTTCTCTAAGTTTGTCTAGGAGCTTACAATGTTTGTTTTGCTGCATATGAGGAAGAGGCAGCTCAGACCTTCTCCAGCGTTCGGTGTCATTGGGACCGTCAGAGCACGTGAAGATGTTGCTTCTACAGCACACCAGCTTTGATTTGGTCCTGAGACAAGCACTCCACTGTTGAAAGTTCACTGAAAGAGTCTTGGTTTGGCTTTGACAACTACAGCTGGAGGTGTCTGGTGTGGAGAGGGTCATTTAGAATTGCCAGCATCGCAATTAAGGGAGGAAAAGAGGGAAATATTTACTAGCCTTTATTTTAGGGACTGGTTCAGTGTCTTTCTCCTGATGAGTTGCTCTCCCTCACACTTCCTCATACTCTTATTCAGTTGATTTATTTAAAGGTATGTCAGTGCTGGCTGAAATGAAACACTGTGCCTCCTCTTCCTGCTTATTGCTGACCGCTCCAATAATTCATTTTTTAGCTCATTAACTAACAGGGGATGTGAGCAGTGGTCCTCCGGGGAACTGCAATGAGGTTAAGTGATCTACTGCTGACAACTCTGCTCTTGGACTGGCCTTCCTTGGGGGAAATGAAACCTCAACCAAGACAAGCTGTGGATCCCAGAAGTGAAATTGGGGCATCAGAGCAACAATTGCAGTATTTATGTCTTGTTGTCAGGGTTTCTGAGACGAATGTGAGCGGCGGAGCTGCAGATGTCTCCCAGGAAAGTCCCCAGGACTTCCCATCCAAATTAAATGGTTTGTGCCAGAGATGGAGGGAGGATGTTTGTGGACATTGCCTTTCTAGATGCTCATTGGAAAGAAGTCCTTGTGTGTTGTGGCTGTCCATGAGGCGTAGTCCAGTGTGCTTTTCCTCCTACCTCTGATGAGGTTTTGTTTTCAACCCTAACATCCAAATCTTCCACGTGCCCAGTTTGTACTGTTGGAAAAGACCTGAATCTCACTGCATACTGATGTCAGTGACGTGCTGCCCCAAATGCCTGAGGCCTTTGAAGGCACTTTATTTTGATTTATAGTTCCACCACAACCCTTGATGTGACTCCAAAGGTGGAACTGGATCTTCCTGAGTGAACTCATGGTGCCCAGCACTGAGGCAGGTGGGAGCACATTCTCCTTCCTCTGATATTGAATTTTAAAGAGTTTCCTGTTCTTTCAGTAGGACAAAACTGAGCAGGACTGGGGCATCCCTGTCTTTGCATCCCTCCAGGAGCATCTCTTGTCATCTCTTCTTTGCATCCCTCCAGGAGCATCAGGATTGCCCACACAACACAGAGCAGATGTGAAATTTGTGCTGATAGATTTGTGAACCAGCAGCCTCAATCTTTGAGAGCCTCTGCCTGATCTAAGCAGTTATTCTCTCTATTTAGTGTCACTATTACAGTTTAGGCTGAGAGGTGATTGGAAGTGGGAGACTTGTGTCAGACAGCTTTTTTTCCCTAAATAGAAAGGGACTTTTTCTTGAGCCCCGGTGATCACAGCAATCGGTGCTCTGATAGGAGCCAGAAGTTTCTCTCACTCCAAAGATGGTCTGGGGGAGAGGGGGATTCATTTGCAGACCCTTGACTAAGCTAAAAAAAAAAATATTACTTACATATCTGAGGAATATTTTGCCTTTAGGATGTATGGACATACAAAAAATAAATTCCCAGAGCCCTGGTGTGTGTTACTGTGGGTGGACAGCACAGGTTGAATCACCTCATTTTCATGTTTTAAACATGTTCTGGATGTGTTGGTTATACTCTCAATACCTCTGTGTGTGTTTAAAAATCATGTGAGGTCTTTGTTAACATCCTTGAAGATAATCTAGATGGGTGCTGGGAGTAGAACTGTTGCAAGAATGCCCCTTTTATTGTAGATAATTGCGTGTTACTTTATCCCTTTCGTGGCACTGGTTCTAGTTTGGCTTCTTACCTTAAAAAAATGTAATTAGAAAAACCATGAATTAAAGATTCTGATAACAGAACTCCTTTTCTTCCTCCTCTCCATCTGGAATACCTGCAGCAATACTCCATTTATCAGATCCTGCCATCAAAGGTTAATTTGCAACTGCCCAAATGGGTTGTGGAGGGGTTTTTTTTGGTGTGTCTTTTAGCTTGCAGGAGTCATTCAGAGGTTTGAGGTAAAAGAAGCACTCCCTGTGTTAATTTTCTGTTTGCACTTTTGCTCTGAAGAAAAGCCCTGGCCCTGTTTGTGGGGTAAACTGTGGCCAGGGCAGGGAAGCTGTGCCTGCTTTGGGAAGCTGTGCCTGAAAGCATCCGGGCAGGTCACAGCAAGGTCACTCCACATGTCCCAGGAAATGATGCAAAACTAATCCAGATTTGCTGGTGGAAGGAGATGTTTACATAAGTATTTAAAAACAGATTAGGGCTAACCTGACACTAGATTACTGGGAGCAGTGTAAACACGACTGAAAGGCGTAAACAGAGCTTGGCCTTTTGTACTCCAGAGGAGAGAATCTGTCGCCAGGACCCAGTTCAGGTGATGTTTGTGGTTTTCACAGGCTGAGCAGATTACCTGAGGGACCTCTGAATGGGGCTTTGTCTGGGGCTGGTGCTCTCAGATCGTGCAATTGTATGGTAATTTTTGAAATGGTGAGTGCAGAGCCTTGTTTGTAGTCCTTGTTCTGCTGTAACCTGATAGCACCAGAAAGCTTCTGATGGTTCTTTGATGTATCAGGAGGAAAAGGTGCTTCAAAGCACTGGCTTGAATTTTGGGAAGACAAGAGGGATCATCCTTATGCCTTTGGGAACATGACTCAGTTTGGAGGGGGACAGAGCCCCCATTTGGTTACTTCTGGTCTGGGATACAGAAATTGGGAGCACTTTATTTGCAGTGTATTGTCCAGCCTTAAAGTGGGACCTGGCAGCTTGTTGTGTCTTTGGTCTTTGTGACCACGAGGGCTCTTGCCCTGACCTCTTGCTGGCCCAGGGTTTTTTAAGACCTCCTGGCTGTTGTGATCCTACACCCCCCTGGGCACAGCATCCATCAAGGAGGATCTCGAGCGCTGCCTCGGGAACAGTAAGGTGGACAACACAAATATTGCTAAAAACACAAGGTGTGGGTGACCTGTTCCTAAGGTTTGGGTGAACCGTTCCCGTGAGGGCTTTCTTGACATGGATTTGAAAGGGGAAATAACCTCCTTCTGTTGGTTGAGCACTGTTGGCCGTGACACCAGGTGAGAATGACCTGTCCCCTCTGGCTTCCCTAGGGAGGAGAAAGAGCTCTGGATCCGCGCCAAGTACGAGCAGAAGCTCTTCCTCGCCCCGCTGCAGTGCCTGGAGCTATCTCTGGGCCAGCATCTCCTGAGGGCCACGGCCGAGGAGGACTTGCGGACGGTGATCCTGCTGCTGGCCCACGGCACGCGGGAGGAGGTGAACGAGACCTGCGGGGACGGGGACGGGCGCACGGCCCTGCACCTGGCCTGCCGCAAAGGGAACGTGGTGCTGGTGCAGCTCCTCATCTGGGTAAGGATGCGCTGCCGTGCCCGGGGGCTGGGCTGTGTCCCGCAGCAGGGCCTGCAGGGCTTCACAAGGACCATGTCCTGAGGCTGGGTGTTCCTCACTGCGGGCTTTCAAAGGGCGGCACCGTGGTAGAAAAGCATGTTTGTGCCTCTCTGCTGCTTGCTGGAAAGGGAAGGAGAGCGTGGGAAACGAGGGAGGAGAGATTCCCTTACCTCGGAATACCGCCGGGGCGGATTTTGTCCCGCACGCGCGACTCCCTCCCTCGAGAAACCTTTCTCTCCGTACGTGGCTCAGTGTTGTCAGGCTGCCCTCCCGCCTGCTCCCTCATCCTCCCTTAAACCCAGTCCCAAACCCGCTCCCGAAATTCGACCGGCACAGCTCCCAACAGCGCCCCTCTTCTTGCCCCGCAGTACGGCGTGGACGTGATGGCGCGCGACGCCCACGGGAACACGGCGCTGGCCTACGCCCGCCAGGCCTCCAGCCAGGAGTGCATCGACGTCCTGCTGCAGTACGGCTGCCCCGACGAGCGCTTCGCCCTCATGGCCACCCCAAACCTGTCCAGGAAGAACAACAACCGCAACAACGGCGGCGGGAGGATGCCCACCATCATCTGAGGGGAGCTCGCTCGCGTGTTCGCTGAGTCACATCCGCAGCCTCGCATTCCTCCATCCCCATCACCGCTCTGGGAGTCTGGTAACTCTCCATCTCCCTTTTCCCTTCAGTCCATCCCCGAGTCCCAGCCGGCACGTGGAGAGCGCCAGGGGCCGAGGAGGAGCGCGGGGGGCTGCCGGGCAGGCCGTTGTTTCAGCGCCCGCCGGGCCGGGAGGGCGCGGGGGCACCGCCCGGGGACACGGCACAGCCCCGGGGCGCCGAGGGACGGGCGGGGGGAGAGGTGAGCCGGAGCAGAAGGAAGGAGAGCCGGTGACTTTCCCGAACTGACAGTGAAGCACATCAGAACATTTCACCTCTACCGAACGCGGCGACGCCTGGATTTCCATTCTCTTCTCCTGAAGAGCTTGACGGCATAAATCAGAAGCAAGCACAGAGTTTGTCAGGTTTGAAGCTCCTATGATGGTATGTGTCAAATCAGTTGTAGCTAATCTGTCCGGGGAGAATACTGGCTTCATTACACTTGTATAGTTGAGTTCTTCCAGCATTACTGCTGTTTAATAGAACATGATTAGTCATCACGGAGAAAAAAGCATATTAGCTGAGGAGGTAGTTACATGGCACGCTTCGGTGATTGCTTGGATGTGATTGCAATATTCTTAGAAGCATCATATTATCTCAGACATGTTCTTTCGAGCCCTTGGAGCCCTCCTTTCTAAATTCACTGTCATAATTTAGTATCTGTTTAATTTTTCAGTCCAAAGAGAGGAAATGAGTTGCTGAGTGTTATTTGACTGCAGTCTCCTTGGTGTAAAAACAAAATGGAAAAAATAAATAAGAGTAAGCCTGAAACACAAAAAGGAATAATGAATACCGCTACGGAAAACAACATTTCAAGTACGTTTGGTGAAATTAATAAATGCATTAAAGGCTGATTTTTTTATTTTTTTTTAATTTTTTTTTTTTTTAATGTTTTCAGCCAGCAGAAATAGGTTCTGTCATTTTGCCAAGGTAAATTGTGTTGAGTTTTTGGTCACTCCTATGATGCATTGCCTAACTTATACAGATTTTTGTATTGTGTCTCTAGATTCTATGTATTTAAAATCTATTTGAATAAAAAAAAGACCGTAAATATACATTGAATTTTTTTTTTTTTTTTTGTACAGAAAATGACATCTCTGTTAATTTATAAACTGTAATGGATGTGAGCTAAATAATGTGCAACTAGTTAGGATCTGTGGGTTACAGATCATTATTGTCCATTGATAATATTCCCAGCAGTGAACTCTTCTTTCCAAAGCCTGTGAGGAGCAACATATCAGAAGGAGACTGGGGCACGTTTTGGCACAGGGAAGTTAAAAAACCATGTGAGACCTTTTAGAAAGGAGAAAAGAGGCTGTTCCTCAGCACTGTAAATACATTTTACTCCACAAGTCAGGAAGCTTTCACAAGCCAAGACAAAAAGGCCCATTCTGGCTGGGGGAAGATCAGATTTGATTAAGTTCAGAATTGATAGCCTTCACCACGGCGGGCAGCGCTCCCAGCCCGGCTGCTTTCGGCAAGAAAAATGGCTTGTGGAAGTAGCCTGGACAGTTCATTGCAATTCCAAGTTTTAATACTTGATTGGATTATTTTGGGCTTAGCAGGCACATCCCAGCTTCTCCTGCTTCCCACTAGCAGGATTCTGGTGTGGGGAAGGTTTTGGCAGGCAGAAAAGTGACTTTTATGTTTATTTTTTGAAATGGCATATGGCAATGTGGGGATGGGGACAGGGTTTATCATGGAGAGAGTTGAAAACTCAACTGAATTCTGATGGCAAAGGAGCAATTATGTGAAGGCAGTGAGGTGCACACAGCATAGCAATTTGAAAATCTACCTGGCTCCTGTGTATTTCCCAAGCTTTTGGTGGTGCCCTTCCTTGGGGCCCTGGGTTTCATTCAGCACACAAATGGGAGGAGCAGCTTCTAAATAAACAGAATGTGGGAAAATTGCAAAGGAAAAAATGCAGTGTGGTTATCTTAAGGGAAACAAAAAGGAAAAATGACAGATTTGAGGTAAAATTCTGGGAGAAAAATGAGCATCAAGGTGGAAGCATGGGAATATTGACCAGCTTCTCTTCTTTGGTGGTGTTGTCCTTTTGTACTTTGTTGTTTTCTAGACCTTTGAGTATTTGGGGAGAGGGAATCTTTCTCCAGCCAGTCTGTGCTGACTGCACCAGACACAGCTGATATTTTATTTTTTTTTAATCCAGAAAAGGTGTCTGTTTGAACTGCCATTTCTCCACCATTCCTGATGTTTGGTACTTGGAGGTGGTCCCTCAGGGAGGGGATAGCCCAGCTGATGTGCAGCTGAAGGGGATGCTGTGGAACCCTCTGTGTGCTGGTGCTCAGCAACTTTGCCACAGCAGGGATTCAGGAATGGCAATCCCAGAGGTGCTAGAGCTGCCTGCTGCTCCCCTCAAGGAGCATCCAGGGCATTTGTATCCCAAAAACCAAGTCCAGTGTTTCAAACCCACGGTGGGCAGAGTTCTCAGTGCATGTTCTTTTTCAGAGTTTTAGGTTTAACCCTAATTTAAATCCTTTTCTCTACGTTGTTTAATGCTCTCTTTGGGCCAGCTTCCTCGGGCTGAGGGTGATGTTTGAGAAACAAGGGCAGCAGGCAGATCCCAGGTAGACAAAGTACGTGGTCCTTTCCTAAAGATCTTCTGAGAGCAACCCTGAAAAAAGCACAGAATATTTTTAGGAGAGGAAATTCCAGTGTATTACAGGAAAAATTATGCATCCAGGCAAGCCAAGTAATTATTTTATTAAGTGGTAACACAGTTGCTTTTAACCTAAACGTGGTTTTAAAAGTGTTGGCATTGAAGCAGTGTGGGTGTGGGGTCTGTGGGGAGCATTCCCAGCCTTGCAGGTGTCAGAGCTCCCAGGGAAAGTCAGGAGGTCCCAGAATATCCTGAGTTGGAAGGGACCCACCGGGTGAGGTTACCCAGGGCTGTTGTCACCAAGTCACTCCTTGCAGGGTGGAGAATGGGGGCAAAGGCCCTCCCACCAAGGCAGGGATGGAGGAAGCTCTCCTTGGCTGGATCCTGGTGGGGCTTGGCTTTGAGAGCTCCCCAGGCTTTTCAGGGGATGTGTTTGCACTGTGCAGAGCCTGCTCTTGGAGCCCCCCAGGTGCAGAGTCAGGCAACATCTCCTTGGAGATCCCACAGGAATTGTTATTCCCGCTGTTCACTCCATTCTCCCACCCCTTTCCCACTCCTTGTCTTGTTTGGCCACTCTTGTTGCTTTTTTACAAGCCCTAAGTGTGACCCAGTCCATGAGAAATCCCAGCAGCCAAAAAGCTGTTTTCTCTGGAGTCTGTGGCTGTGGTCATTGCTCTTCCCACTTAACCCTTCCCCTCATCCCAGATACCTTGAAATGCCCCTTCCTCTGCACTTTATCCATCACTAAAACACTAGAAGCGAGTCAGATGTTGCTGTTTCCATATTTCCTCCTATCTTTGTCCAATTGCTGTGGAATTCAGTCGGATGTGTCACACCTGAACCTGGGTATTGCCAGGGAGGGTTCACTCCTTTGTCTTTCTGAAGAAAAAAGACCCAACCTTGGGAAAACTCAGGGTCCTGCCCTGAATGCAGAGATTTGGCCAGGGGCTCCCTTTACCAGATCTCCAATTTTGGTGGTAAAAAAAGTAGCAGGGAGGGGGGAAAAAAAAAGCAAAAAAATAAAAGCTTGGAGAACCTTGGTGCTGCTGGGAAAGCTGGGTGAGCTCCTGGAAGGCAGAGAGGATTTTGAGGCATTTGAGCGCAGTGTAAAATAACTATGTAAGCATTAACATTGTTTAATTCACTGTCTTGTCCCCCTTCCCTTAAATTATGTGTGTTAGTGCAAAAAAAGAAATAAAAATAAAAAGCTTTAGCTGCACTTGGAGATTTCCCTGGGCCAGAGAAGGCCGAGTCACGTAGGGAGAGGAGTCGAGGTGGGAATGCAGATCCGGGTTTGGAAGTGATCTCCGGCACTGTAATGTAGAATAATTAGATTATATGGGGTTGGAATAGCTTCAGCTTTTATATTTGTATGGAGATCGGGAGAAATGAAGTAATTTGTAGTTTCTAGTGTAAAGTAGTGGTAGTGGAGACAAGCACAGATTTCACAAGGGGGTCCCCAAGGGGCCCTTCCCAAACGTCTCGGGGAGCCGCCTTTGCACCTTAACAGGGATGGTTATTGGGGTTCATTGTTGGTGAAATGGTCATTTCATGTTTGGTTTAGTGGTTGTTGTCAGGAGGGGAACTCGAGGGGAAGGAGGAGAGCGTTGGGGACCAAACTTTGGGGCACCTTGGTGGGACAGGAGACAACTTCCCCATCCTCATCTCATCGTCAGGCGTCTTCCTTGCCCCTCCAGAGGCTGCTCCACCGACCCTTAGGTGGGATCTCTGCCTGCTGGGCCTGGATCCTCAGTTCCACACTTCCCATTCCTGATGATTTGTGGGTAAAATCTACTGCGTAGAAAACCCAGGTTTGGATGTTCTTGTGTTTGCTGCACAACGGGAAAAAAAACAAACGCTCTGCAGTAAAGATCTTTTCAAGGTGGAAAAGAAACACTGAACTACCCCCAATTAAGAGGTTCTGAAATGAGTTTGGAGTTCTAAGCTACCAAAAAAAAAAAAAAAGGTTGGCTTGAATGGTTTTATTGGAAAATAATTTCTTCTTTGAAAAAAAGTAATAGAGGTCATAGAGTAAAACATCCAGAGGTGTAGATGGGTGAATTTGTTGGTTTAGGATATTTGTAGGTTTTGCTTTCTTGTTTAGCATGGGCCAATGTTTAAAGTGAATATTGGGACAGTTTACTGAGTCTGTCCCACACTTCAAAGGGAGGTTTGAGGGGTTTTGGCCTGGATTGTCAGGAGCTGGGAATAGTTCATGTTTTGAGAGGGGAATTGCATGATTTCTGCAAAGTGAAAGGTCAGTTTGGGACATGTTTTTAGGGCCCCAAATTGGCTAGCATGTTTGTGGCCCCATTTCATTTCAGGGATGTGGGTGAATGAACTCCCATCATTTACTACCATATTCAGGGAGGAGAATTTCACTTGTGGATGGATAAAATAAAGATGTCTTTGTGCATTTCAGCAGTTTTAACCTCTTCATCTCCCCATGCCTGCCTGGATCCCAAACCCCTGTGGCACATCCAGGCGGCAGCGGTCGGTTCTGCTGGTGGGCAGAGCCTCAGCCTTCCCTCAGCCATGGATTTTCTGGATGTGGTTTTTTTTTTAGCTTCCAGTGCTAAGGACTGGCTGATTTGCAGTGCTTCAGAGCTACTCATTTTCACATCTGTGTGTTCTGTACAAAATGTGAAGGGGGGTGGGTGGGGGACGCTTCAGAGGTCTCATGGCATGCCCTGGGGATGGTGGCCACATTGCTTGCTGGCAGTGAATAAACCTCCAGCTCTTCCCTGCTTTTCCATTTGGGGTTTTTTGTTGTTCCTGAGAGCTGAAGTAGCTAAAAGCATTTCCCTGGTCCTCAGGAATTGCAGGGTATGAGGAGGAGAACCCCTCACAGAGACGGCTCAAAGGCAAACCCCAAACTCCTGCAGGACCAAGGAAGGGTTTTGGTGCTGAGCGTGGGGATTTTGGGCATCTGCATCCCGAATGTAGGGGTTGAGCTGAGTTGAACCCATGGGTGAAGTGCAGCCAGGGTGTCCTGAGCCCTCAGCTGTCACCTGGAGGTCACTTCTTGCTGTGTGTGTGTGCTGGTGCCTGCTCCTCACACTGCTGTCGGTGTTTGTGGGAATCCCCTTGAGCACCATCAGGGGCTGCAGCCAGGCTTTGGTTGGATGTTTCCAAACGAGCAAATTTCCCAGCTGGAGCCAGACCAGGACTTCCAAGGAGGCAGGATGGGGGAACACTGGCTTGAGGGATGGAGAGGTGCAGGGAGATGAGGCCCAGGCTTGCTGCAGCCTCACAGGTTTTCCTAAAATCCAACTCCTTGAGGCAGCAACATCCAGCTTGTGAAAACCTTGAGTTTGGCCTCCAGGACTGGAGGGGAAAAATCCCTCCCTTGCTGGAGAGGAGAAATCCCAGCTCACCACTGCAGGTGGGAAGCTCCAGGGAAGGAGGTTCTGAAGGTGGAAAGGACTGAGTCTT